GCAGGGCTTTGTGGACACTGAGAGAGCCACTGACCCTGTGCCAGCTTTGCTGASAAGGTTTTACAGATGTATAATGAACATTTTGTGGGGCTGGAATGCAAGAATAACCCAGCATCCAGCGTGGGGGATGTGGGAGATGAGCCAGCAGAGAGGAACTTTCCCTSCTCTCTCCATGGACACTGTATTGATGTGTGTTAAACACTCCTTCCACAAAAGAAGAGCCCTCAAAATAACTGGAGGATCAACTGAGCTTAACAGCTTAAAGCATCTGTTTTCACTTAAGACAAAAACATCAGTGAAATAATCTGCTTCCCATTGCCCCGAAATATTTTCATATCTCTAATACCAGAGAGAAACGGAGAGCCCCAAAACATGTAAGAAAAATTGTGGGTTTTTTACTATAGAATAATTTGTCAGGTGCARCCAGGCACAGCGTGAGTTCTCCAAGCAGAGGTGCTTATTCCTAATCACCATTTCTGCCTGGATTTTCCAGATGTGGATGAATGTCGTCTGGAGAATGGCAACTGTGACCATTTCTGTGTGAATTCCCTGGGGTCATACGAGTGTGCCTGCAAGGAGGGCTACAGGCTTGGGGACAACCGCTGGGCCTGTGTGGGTGAGTTGTTCTTACACCTTGAGGGCTATTGAGCACTTCCCACTGATTAAAAAAAAATTATTTTAGAACTGGGATTTTCACAAATCCTGGGATTTTGGGAGCCCAGTGTGAGCCATCTCTGAATGTGGCCAGGGTAGGGCTACGTGCAGTGCGTGGATCCAAGTTCATCCTCCAGTAATGGCTTTTGCCAAAGATTAATGGGAGATGAACACTTAAATCCCTTGGACATGTTTGAAAACCTAAAGCTCCTGCTTTAGACATAGATACTATTTTGACACTTTTCTAGCACTATTTGATGAAGTTTAACATCCTGTGGAAAAAAATAAAAATTCAGATTCTGCTTTGATCAAGCATGGCAAGTTTTCCATTAGTCAGTGACGTTATTCTGGATTTCTGCCAGTGTAACCAGTCCAGAGTTTAGCAAAGCAACTCAATTTTATGACCAAGTTTAGCACCTGCTAAACTTTAAGCCAGAGTTTGATATTCTAACCAACTCCAAAAAGAAAGCCAACTGATTTCCCATCATTTTAAGGCTCAAATTTTAATGTTTCTGAAAATAAATTGCACAGCTGGCCTCACTTTCTATTTGTCATCTCCGAAACGAGCAAGAGTAATGACCTTCATTAACTAAAAATAATCTCAAACTTCAAGTGAGGAAAATGAATCTCCTCATTTAATTTTGATTCTCCACGAGCAGAAGAAAGAAAAAGGAAAAGGAAAGATGGGGGAGTTTTCCCCTCTTTTCTCTTTTTTGTTTTTTAGGTAGCAGGAACACTGTATGTATAAATGAAGAAATTCCTGGGCTGGGGTTGTTGGGCAGAGGTGTGACTGAAAAATCGAATGGCATCATAATAATAAAAAAAGATGTGAATGGAAGTGCTGTGGAGGAAGGCTGAGGTGCTGATGTGTTTGTGGCAGCCCCAGATGTGGAGGAGGTGGATGCTGAGGAGGCAGTGGGGTTCGCCGGMGCCCCGGGGCTGCAGTTCCGAGGGCCCCCCCAGCTGCTGCACTACGCCCTCGGTGCCCTGGCTGAGGATGGAGACCCTCGAGGAGAGCTCACCCTGGTGCACAGGGTCGGTGAGTGACACAGCAAACACGGGGCATCGTCTCAGGGAGAGGATTTGGGGCTGGGCTGGATGGGCTCGAGGGAGGGATGAGCGCTAATCCTGATTTCTGTCTGTAACAGCGGGGTTGAGCCATTGCTGTGAGCCCCATCCCAAATGGAATGGGTTTGAGGAACTGGGAGGCTGCATGGGGAGGGATGCAGAGTTGTGAGCAGCTGCTGGGCAAGCTGGGGGTCTGCCCAGAGCCCCAAGAGCAGCAGCCAGAGGGATCCCATCGTGCCAGGGGTTACTGCAGGGCACTGAATCCCTTGGGAAACTCTCCCTTTCTCCTGGAGCTGGGAGCATGAATCCCTGTTTACAAACCCTTTTATAACAGCTGGAGGCTTTTTGTTTGAGATATTTGCATTTTGTTTGTGGAAAAAAAAACAATCCTCTGAGGATTCAGGTTTCCCTTGGTGCTCTGGGTGTGTTCTCCAGGGAATGCATCAGCCACGTGTTGCTCAGCTCAGATGGTGGCAAACAGCACAGGAGCACCCAGTGTCACAGGAGTGGGTGCAGAGCAGCTTGGCTCCCACCTGGGCTTTGCATGATTCAGTCTTTCCACCTGAAGATGGAAACTTTCAGAGCATTACAAGGTGAAACCCTGGGTTTGCTTTGTGCTGAGTGCTGCTGGGTCACCAGGGAGGATTTCTTGTTTTTCCTAAGTGTGTCCTGTGATTTTTATATAAACTCTAATTACTCATCCGAGGACTGTGCCCTACAGGCAGAAATCAGGAGCTGGTCTTGACTTTAATAAAAAATTAACTTATTTTTATGAACAAAACTGTTAAGACCCCCCAAATCACACAACATCCAGCTGGACTCAACGACACTGATAACCAACTGGGAAACTGATAAATGAGATAACCACAGGCAAAATCATCAGGCCTAGAAACCACAATCAAATATTTATTGACCACTTTTTGCATGTTTTATTTATATTTAGCCACAGAAATTCGGGTGTTATCAGTCATAGCTGAGCAGCTGCACTTTTTCTAAGGCTCAGGCTCTGCAGCATGYGGTGGTTTGTAGGAAAAGGTGATGGAGAAAAGGAACTTTAAATGGTTTGATAAGTTCCTTTGCCTCCCAAATAGTAATTTACTGCTTTTACTTTAACATATTTTTATTCTGCTATCTGTATTATAAAAAAACCTGCTTTAACAGTGAGCTGGTGCAGGTAATTATTTTCTGTAGCTTGAATGACTTTTTAATGTGGAAGCATGACGTTTCTAATGGTAATCGGTACCCTTCTCCTAAAGTATGAGTTTGTACCCCATTCCCAGTGGTAGCATTAGAATTGTGAATGTCCCTGAAAGCTTGGGCATTTGTTCAGCTACAGAAAGGGAACAGTTGGGTGCTCAGACCTAGAGGAAATCTGGCCTCACAGAGAAAATTGTTGGTGAAAAACAACCAGCCTGTGACTCACTGTAGGCTGAAATAAGCTGCCAGCTCACTTTCAGGTGCTGTTCAAAATCCCTTCCAAAAAGCCTCCAGCCACAGCCGTAAAGCCTCGAAGCCTCTAAACTGTGGGGATGGAATCTTTAGTGCCACTGAAGTATTTTATCAGACAGTCACATTTATTTTCCACGTCTGTCTCAATAGACCCCACAAAGAGAACATGAGGCTGCAAGGGATAAAAGGAGAGTGGGGAAGGAGAGGAAAAAAAATGCATTTTAAGGTTTCCTATGTATAACTCTTCATATCCATGGAGGAAAAAAGGAAGTGATAAATCTGCATTTTGCTTTGTTTTCATAGGGTAACACTCAAACTATACAGTTAAAGATATCAATGAATAGTGTTTAAGTAGCACCACACCCACTTACTGCAATAAAACAACAGGGATCACCTAGCAAGGAGTGAGGAATGTCCCAGTAAACGTTTTTAATTAAATGCAATCTTCTTCTAATGATACACAATGTAATCAAGCATTAGGTGCAAATTTACTTTTTCCGAAGGTGAAAACACTTTTAAAAAGTAGCTTGAAGTGTTCTTTGCAGCATTTAGGGGAGAAAATTCCAGCTGAACCCCCAGCTTTCCTTTTTCTTGGACTCCAAGATGTGAAGAGGGAAATTCAGCAATGTACGTGTTGGCGAACCGGCGCTCTGTGCACCCTAATGCTGGGTGAGAGTTTGTGGGAGCATTTTTGTCAAGCTGCTCGCTCAGCCCTGTGTGTTTTCCTCCCATCAGTGTGCCTGGGTGACACWTTTGGCCCGGATTGCAGCCTGAGGTGTGAGGACTGTCTGCACGGGGGCCGCTGCAACAGCGAGCGCAGCGGCTGCGTCTGCGCGCCCGGCTGGGCTGGCATCACCTGCAACCAGAGTGAGTCTGGGGCTTATGGGGGGAGGGATCCTCCTGTGGGGGCTCTGCACTCGGGAAAGGGAAGAATTTCTTGTACTTTTCCTCTGTGAAGCTCCTGAAGGAGCACAGATGTCTCATAATCAGATTTATGGTGCTGGGGCACATTCAGTGGGGATTGCAGGTGATGCCGTGGCACACAGAGATCCCCATCCTCCAGTGMAGGTCAGGACAGAATCGTCCCCCTCTTAAATATTTGGTGGTTGTTCATTCCTGTTCACTCTGCTGCTAAAAGCTGCCAAAGTTTGCTGGCCATGCTTCATCCCACAGCTTTTCTCAGTGACTTGCAGAAGTCTCCCAGCAGTTGGTGTGACAGTTTGGGTGGTCACGTACACTAAACTCACCTTTTTCCACTGTAGAATACCAAGACATTTCCTTTTTAATTCTTGTCTTATATTTTTCATTTTTTTCCTTATCACTCTTYTTTATTATGAGCACCATTTTCTTGGAACAGTTAATTTTTCATATTGGAAATGGTATTTTTCAGAATTCTGTTGCCAATTCAGTGCCCTTTATGATAGCTTTTCACTCTCCYTACTCCTGTTTCCTGGCAGAAGATCTTTCTGATTCAGAAGGATGTGTCAAAACCCATTGGAAAGAGAAATTTCTTGATGCACTGCTCTTCATCTGCAGTTTGGCAAAACTTGTCTGCTGCTTGTCTGAGACATCAYACAGCAGATTTCCTGTTTGAGATGGGTCCCTCCATTTCATGGTGTGTGACATGATGGCCCATCATTCTCASAAAGTCTTTGCTGTCACTGGTGAGACAAAGAGTCGATGAAAATTTATTACTTGACATCAGTAGACAGCAATCTCCAGGTTAATTGCCATCAAGATGGTTCAGGAGACGTCATCACACGGACWGAAATAGAGAAAAATCAAGCAAGTGATTTGAAACCAACAGTCTGCCTGTGATTATTCTGGGAGACTGATGGAGAGTTTGGTTTGTAAACACTGGGGACAGTTAAGAGAATGAGAATAGGGGGGATCAAAATTATAATTTCCACTCTAAGACAGTTCAAACTAGAAAGGTAAGATATTCTTACTTCTGTTTCTGGTGCTGAGGTGGTTCAGGAGAGATTATAAAAATTTCAAGGGAGTATCCAAGTTGTGTAGTTCATTTCATAAATAGCAACATTTCTGATGTACATTTGCAGTAGATATCAAATCTAATGGAATTCGCCTCTGGAATTTAAGGWACTTTAATAGGACTGTGTTATTGAGCCAAACCTGCTGTCTGATGAGGTATTGACAGTGATAAATGCAATATCTAATCTATATGAATTAGTCACATGKGATGGCTTTCACTCTTTTCTCTTGCTTTTTTTAATAAACAGCACAATTCATGGGCTTAGGGTAAGCAGCTTTAGGGGAAGCTAAAACAGTGGAGAAAACTGGAACTAAATTTCTCTAATAATGCACCAAAGAAGCCGAATGGAAATTGATGTGAAATGTCAACTTTCTTAATGTACATTGATAAAATGTCAGTGAAATCAGATGACTCCAGCAACTGTATTCACTCAGCCAGCTCAGGCTGCAAACAGCAGAGCAAGGCTTCGTCTCACAGTTTGTTTTTGCTGCTGTGGATCCATTGCTGCCGTGATCACCTGGGGAATTTCAGAAACTGCATTTGAAAAACAAGACATTATTTTCATAATGGTATTTGGGAGAGAAAAAAAGAATGTTTAGGATATTTATCTCCAAATATTCAAAGCTGTGTTCTGGTGTTTAAGCTTTGGATTTGACAGGCAATGGTTTTTGAACTTTGTGGGGAGGGGGAACACTTGCAGGGTAGGGTTGGATTCCTGGCAGTGCTTCCCAAAGCTTGGTTAATTCAGGTCTCCTTTGAAATAGAAATATCAGGTGGATGTGCATTGCTTTGGAGGAGAATATAACTAAAAGGTCWCTCTCCTTGYTCAGTTTTCACAGAATCACAGAAGTGGTCTGGAAAAGACCTTTGAGATCATTGAGTCCAYGCACTGACCCAACACCACCATCTYCACCAGGCCATGGCATTCAGTGCCACATCCTTAAACATCTCCAGGAACAGAGACTTCACCACCCCTCTGGCAGCCCCTTCCCGTGTCCAGTCACTSTTTCTAGGGAGGAATTCCTCCTGATGTCCAACCTAAACCACCTCTGGCAGGTTAAGCTGTGTCCTCTTGTCCTGTCACTGGTTATCTGGGGGAAGAGAYTGACTCCCCATGGCTGCACCATCCTGTCAGGGAGCTGTAGAGGGAGAAGGTCCCCCCAAGTCTTTTCTCCTCCATGCTGGGCCCCTTTCCCTCAATCTCCCAGAACCTTTCCCATCTTGCTGCCCTTCCCAAAGACCAAAGCCCTGTTTTTCTTCCTTTCAAGCCGAGGGAGGGATTTCCCGCTGTGCTGACCCTTGTTTTCTCTCCACAGCCTGTCCCCCTGGGACGTTTGGCCGAGGATGCTCTGGTGTGTGCGAGTGCCGGAACGGCGGCCGCTGTGACCCCATCACGGGGCAGTGCCACTGCCCTCCTGGCGTGCTGGGCCGGCTCTGCGAGGATGGTATGGCTCCCTTTCCACCTCAGCCTGTCCTCTTCTCCCCCATGTTCCTTTATTTTAAATAATAACCAAACCAGAGGGCGAGGAACAGCTGCTGCCCAGTGAGGCCGCAAGCCCCTTTGGACCTGGGCCCTGACCACTGTGTCTGATTTCTCTCCATGTTTGTGCACCCCAAAGGTTGCCCAAAAGGTTTTTTTGGGAAGAACTGCAACAAACCGTGCAACTGTGCCAACAAGGGCCACTGCCACCGGCTGTATGGTGCCTGCCTGTGTGACCCCGGGCTCTACGGCCGCTTCTGCCACCTCAGTGAGTCCCTGTCGCTCTTTGGATCTGTTTTAAACCTGCACAATTTAACAGTCTGTACAATATCCCACATCGTGTAAAGGCAGCTGGAAAAAGGAATGGGAGTGGCYTTATATAGAGGACAAGGAGAAACAGATTAAGTGAAAGATTACGGATTTAGCTGAGATATTAGAAGGAATTGTTCCTGGTGATGGTGGGGAAGCCCTGGCACAGGGTGCCCAGAGCAGCTGTCGCTGCCCCTGGATCCCTGGCAGTGCCCAAGGCCAGGCTGGACATTGGGGTTTGGAGCAGTCTGGGACAGTGGAAGGTGTCCCTGCCCATGGCAGGATTTGGGATGAGATGATCTTGAAGGTCCCTTCCAGCCCAAACCATCTTATGATAAATTGAGCCAGACTTTGGGTTCTGCAATGGGCTGGGAGTAGCAGGAGGACAGGACTTTTGATTTGTGCCAGGAAACCCCAGAAGCTTCATTAATCTTTCCCTCTAGTGATTAATCTTAGCCACAAGGACTGAGATTTACTGGTGCTCAGAGGTGAGGACTGTAGATGGGGTTGGGGTGGGGTGAACATGTTAACATTAAGGTTATTCCTTAGGTTAGGGTCTGGTTGGAGCTGGTTAGGGGGTGCTGATGGGGTCGGAGTGGGAGCTGAGGAGCGGGGCTGGCTTGGGCAGGATGAGGATGAGAGGTTAGATAGAATGAAAAGAATTAAAACAAAAACTTTGCAAAATAGATGATTGAGTTTCTTTATGCTTACAGGTTTTGTTTGTAAWATCTGTCTGGGACTGAAAATCTTTTGTGTTTTGTTTGGGGTTTTGTTGTGAAAGCTTTTGTCTTGGAGTGCATCCAAATATTTTTTCATCCAGAAAATTAGCAGAGGWTGCTTTGAAAAGTTTCTGGTTCTTSCATTCACCACGTATTGCTTGACATGAAGTGAATGACCCAACACAGGAACTGTGTAAACTCTGCTTTTACCCCCACACCCACAGTCGAGAGGGCACTGCTCTGGAAACAGGGATGTACTTGCTGAGAGTGCAGTGAAGGTTTTCCTTCTTGCAGCAGCTGCTTTCTGCAGYAGTGTGCAATTCCCCCAGCTCCTATTCACCACAGAGCTAATGGTTCCTTCTCTCCTCCCTGCTGCAGCGTGCCCACGGTGGGTGTTTGGTGCTGGTTGCTCCCAGGAGTGTCAGTGTGTCCAGGAGCACACGCTGGAGTGCAGCCCCAGGAATGGCTCCTGCACCTGCAGGCCTGGCTAYCACGGCAAAAAGTGCCAGAAAGGTATGCACAAAGCCACCTTCCCCACGTCTGCTTGTTGCTTTGTCCTGGTAATTTCTCATTCTTCTGGCCATCTGCTTTGTTTGGCTGCTGCTTCTCATATATTCATATCCTACTCATGGTTTTGTGGGGTTTTACCCTGTTGGTATAGGGTTGCAGGGACATCAAGGAGAATAGAGATTAAGAATGCAAGAGTTTTAACCTGATCAAATGACAACAGAAATCCAGAACCCAAATTCTAATACAGCCCTAAATAATGAAGACTGTGTGAATTTCATTTCTCTGCTTTTTATACACAGACAGTAAATAAATGGCAAAATCTGTGTTTTATGGCAGCRGGGTGATTTGTAAACAGGTTCAGTAAGGCTGCTTTTCCTTCAGGTTTGCAGCTCTTTGAATTCAACTTACTCTTTGTAGCTTTTGGGGGTAGTTCAAAGAGAATTGTATCCCACATTCATGTTTGCATGTCTCAGTAGCCCTTTCCAGACAGCAGTGGAGTAGCACTACAAAGACTCTCCCTTYAGATTTTTCTCTGAGCAGGCAGGAATGTGTTGGGTTTATGGCAGTAGTTCTGGTGGATTTGGTGAAGAGCAATAGTGACAATGTTTAATATTTTTATCATTCTTGGTGATGGGCTCAGTTCTGGCAGGGAGAACACCTTGCCCAGCACTGCCTTTGCACCAAGGGAGAGAGTAGCAGAACTTGCAGACATATAAGAGGAAAATTCTATAGTTTATTTAATTGAATAAATTCTCAAGTATTCTAATTGAATAAATCCTTAAACATTCTGCCACTCTGTTTCTGGGTTATTTAAGAAGTAACCCCTTTGAACTGTAAGCATTTATTAAGTATTTACACTTTAACAACACCTCTAAAATGTACATTCTAATATATTCTCTGCAAGGTTCTGCTGAATTATTTTGTGATTTTTTTTGTTCAGTTTTCTTAACTCTTCCTCTATCTTTTACATATCCTGTGCCTGTTTCCATTTCCAGAGTGCACCCCRGGTTTTTTTGGGGCTGGTTGCAAGCTGAGGTGCAGCTGTCCTCCTGATGTTCTGTGTGATCCTGAGACAGGAGCCTGCAAACATCCSTGCCCGCCTGGCTTTCATGGAGAAAAATGCCATTTGTGTAGGTACTCACTGCTTGTTTCCCTGGGAGATGCACTTTGGATGGGAAAGCTTATTCATGAAACTTGTGTTCAGAAATAGAAGTTGCAAATAAATGGGTACATTTGTTGTTGATATGAKTTGGCAGTTCCCCACTGGAACCAAGCTGGTATTTTGAGCCTGGCAAATGCTGTCTCTCTCTCTGCTTGCAAAGGTCGAGGCACAAGGCTGAGGCCAGATACCCAAACTAACATTTGTCCAGCTAACAGCAGTTGCTTTTAAAGCTCCAGGCACAGATTTTCCAGGGCTCTGTTGCAATCAGTTACAGACCACCAGTTGCTGAGACACTAACACTGATCACTTCTTACCAGCACAGCTCATTTTAAAATCGATGATTGTAGTGCCTCCTCATGTCTTCAAAATGCTTCTAATCATGACTTTGGGTTTGTTTTTTTTGTCCAGCTTGTCAGCCTGGCAGCTTTGGGATGGGCTGCAGGCAGAGGTGCAGCTGTGGAGGAGCTCCATGTGATCCGAARACAGGGCAGTGTGTTTGCCCAGCTGGGAAGACTGGCACCACGTGTGAGCAAGGTGTGTGAGGCATTGGACCCAGGCAGGGAGTGGCTTTGGAAGATGTGATGAGAAGTGGAATTTGCTGTTTCACAAACCACAAAACGTACAAATTGTGATGGAAATTGGGAGAGAGCCTTGGGTGTCTCCTCAGCTGTGTCCTGTGTGCTGCAGTTTMCTGGCAGGGCTGTAAGTCTGTAGAGGTATTTAACAGTCCACCTCAGTTTTACTGTTATTTTTGAGTTATTCAGGGTAACAGCAGAAATCTATAACTGTCCTGAAACAGAAAATAGCACTGCTTACACCTGATGTGCTTCTTCCCCAGATTGCCCCGATGGCCGGTGGGGACCAGACTGCCAGCWCTCCTGCGAGCCCTGTGCCAATGGGGGACAGTGCAACAGGGAAACTGGGGACTGTGACTGTCCCCCTGGCTACATTGGGCCATCCTGTTCTCACAGTAAGCCCTTGCAACATCAACTTTCCCCATGAAAAGTCAGATTGAAAACTCAGGTTATGGCTGGACTTTTGCCACCTCACTTTTTTTGTGAGCTAGAGCATGCTGATCCAAGATTAAGTACCCTTCATCTCCAGGAATTCCCCAGGTTGGATTTGACATTATTTGTGGGAGAGAGATTGCAGACAAAAGCACATGACCAGCTAAACTGCATCCCAAATGGATATTATCATTAGCTGTAATTTATGGCAATCTGCACTTAGAAATACAGTGTTTAATAGTCWCAGCACTGGTGGTGCAATCCTGGCTGTTTGGCAAGAGGTGTGACCAGCTGGCCCTCATGGCATCACTGCTGAGTTATGTTTGCAGCAGCCCTCCTCAGTGGATGYCATTTAGGATTAAAAAATAGTGAGGATGGAGGAGCAGCATCAGTGCTGTCCTTGCAGCCAGAGGCTGTGGGAATACTGCAGCTGCTCTGTGCTTCTCTTCAGCCCCTAAGTGTTGAAAAGCTGCTGAARTGTGGCTGTTGTGCTGCACAGACAGGCTCTCACTCAGGGACAGATCTGCTCTGTGCAACACCTCGGCGGTGGCACATTTTAAATTTGTTTTAGTCACAAATGGCTTTGCAGGAAGGTTTGCTCAACACCTTTCCCTCCTCTGAGCCAGCCTAATGCACAGGAGTACCCAAAAGTCACTCAGGCTATTCCCAACTTCCAGGACTGKGCCTTGAGCACCCAGGCTGCAGATCCCAGACATTTCTTTCACATTGCCATTTGGATTCCTGGCTTCAGCTGAAGGCTGTTTTTGGGGGTGAGCTGTTGCTGCCAGCGTGGGGTGATCAGTCTSTGCCTGAGCTGTGACCTGGGTGGAGTGACAGCCTTTCTCTGTTCACAGCCTGCCCCGATGGGCACTATGGATTGAGCTGCCTGTCACTGTGCAGCTGTGACAATGCTGCTCAGTGCCACCACGTCACCGGCGAGTGCTCGTGTCCCCCGGGCTGGAGCGGCCACGACTGCACACAYCGTAAGTCAGGGCATCTCCTGGAGCCTCCAGGGGAGGAACCAACTCTGCTTGCCTTTCGTTTATTACAGCTTCTTAATATCATTTTGCTAATCTTGCCTCTTCTGAAATGGTGTGTTTGTGGGTTTGCACAGCCTGGGTGGTTACAATCCTTAATTATCCAGGTTCAAAGCGTTGAAATAGATGGCTGATGAAGCGCAAAGTATTGATATAAGCTCTTA